CGAGTAAACTACATTTAAAACCAACAAGTAGTACATCAGAATCTAATTGATGTAGGTTTTCATAATTTTAGAGAAATTCATAAATCAGTCGGAATTTCACCGCGAGCTGCGGTTCTTAAAGATATATACATGTATATCATAAAAGAAATGATAATTCGGGGTTCTTATATACCGCTTTATCACAACCTAGTTCGTAGGTCGTCTCAAAGCGGTTCACAAATTATTATCCGTGGTTATGGGGCCTATGTAACCACCTTATATCATTCTCAACTCCCTGGGGAGCATACAGTCGGTGCTGCCATTTCGGCGCTCACATTGCCCAACCACGTACTCATTTACAGCTGAGTAAACTGGAACAAGCGGAGTAAAGTATCTTGCTCAAGGATACAACACAGTGCCGTGACATGATTTGAACCCGCAACCCGTCGGTCACAAGACCGGGGTCCTACCACTAGACTATCGTGCCACTACTCTATATCATTATGTCCTGCCGAGGTGTGGTACGGGCGGACTTATGGTACCTGTAGCCGGGCTGCCAGATGGCACAAAGTCAAAACTGGATATAAACCAGTTCAACCCCTGTTGTCTTAAAATACAGATCTCGATTTAATTATTTACCTTTAACACATTTGTTCAAGTCGAATACACACTCGTGTCCTTAAACAAGTAGGCTCGGATTGTATGCCGGTATGTTTATCGTCTGATATATAAAGATTTGATATTATTGGCTTAATTTTAATTAACATGTTTATCAATAATTTTAATTACCGTGTTTCTCTAACTTTTTCAGATGTTATGTGAAGTTTGTTTAATTATTATTGTCTTTACGTTGATTTTTGTATGTATGCTCGAACACTTGTACAAACGATCTGGAATTGAATTTGAAGATATATCATATGACATTAAATTCCGGTGGTGATGGATATGACAAGTTTATATATTTTTCAATCCATAACGAATTTGGATACTTATTGTTTTGTTATTGCGACGCGTCTTCCTCACAGTCTTTTTGTAAACATACTAATATACAGTATATACTAATACCCACATTTATGGGTGTACGCCAAGGTGATGCCTACGGTCTCTCTCTATGTTTCCACATTTATGGGTGTACGCCAAGGTGATGCCTACGGTCTCTCTCTATGTTTCCACATTTATGGGTGTACGCCAAGGTAATGCCTACGGTCTCTCTCTATGTTTCCACATTTATGGATGTACGCCAAGGTGATGCCTACGGTCCCCCTCTATGTATCCACGTGTATGGGTGTATGGGTGTACGCCAAGGTGATGCCTACCAACCGTACATGTCCCTCTCTATAAATGTTTGCATTAGTGTTAAAATAAAGTGTGTGTGNGGGGGGGGGGGGGGGGGGGGGGGGGGGGGGGTACTCAAACAGCTATATCGAATTTCTTTTCATAACATCTGAATTCAAGCTTGTTCAGTTTTTCTTAATACAATAAGACACTATATATTTAGACAACTGCTCTATCGATAACCAGCCGCTGCACCGCACTGTTGGACAGTCACATTATCATCATGTTGTAGCAATCTGAAACCCTATACCCAAACATCTACCTAACTTGTGTTTATGTATCGATGTTCATTTTTAAAACTCATAAAAACAAATCATGCGTTGAAAAATCAATTAAGGATATACATTTCAAAACAGCATTAGGTAATTGGAGTATGAATTTCCATCGTGGCTCAATAGTAGGATTGATACAACGCACTCACGTTTAGATCTGGGAGACTGTATGTAATATGTAATGGACATGTCAATATCTCTGTACACTGTACTGGACATGTCAATATCTCTGTACACTGTACTGGACATGTCAATGTCTCTGTACACTGTACTGGACATGTCGATATCTCTGTACACTGTACTGGACATTTCAATATCTCTGTACACTGTACTGGACATGTCAATATCTCTGTACACTGGACTTTATAAAACCATCAGAAATTTACATTAAAAAACGTTTAAAAATATATGTCAATGTTTTGCTTGATTTGTTGATGGAAGATATATACATGGTTGTATACATACAGCAAAACCTGTGCATTCCGACACCACGTGGAGCACAATATCTTGGTCAGATAAAACGGGGCATACGACAACACAGGTCTAACATATTTTATAACAAATGTGAATACATCATATTGTCGGCTTAGCAATGTTTCGGAATACTCGGGAATCATATTTGACAGATTTAATTGTTTATAATAAAACGAGAGACTAGCAGAGGGCAAAAGAGAATCGAAACAGAGAGGGGAAGGAGAGCGAATGAGAAAAATGAAATGGTGAGGAGAGGCAGGAGTGAGAGAGATAAATAGGATAGAAATAAAGGGGAGACGACAGAGCGAGGAAATAATGAGATACAGATTTTGGAAGCGTGAGAGGGATAGAAAATGAGAAAACAAGAATCCATAGCAGCGCACTTGTTGGAAGAAAGCAGATCGAAATGAAATGCTGCATGAAATTTCAATCTGCGTAGTTGTACAATAAAGTACCAAACTTACCCTAAATAAGACCGGCGTCCCTTCAAACAAATTGTTATACTTTTATTCAGTACTTTACACAAAAGAGCTAGTAAATCACGGTATGAATTCCGGAATTAAAATACATAGGTAAGCTCTCCGTGTTTCATACCAGGTCTTCTTAGCGTGAGAGCAAAGGAAAACCATTTTTATGTTTACACATTGTAACGTAATCATGTGAAAATATTAACAACGTTTAAGTGAAATATGTGCATTTCATCGAGTTCGTGGTACATGTGTGCGTTTCCTAGTAGACGTTATTTTATGATGTTACCTACCCGAAGGTATTTTTTATCTCCAGTATCATATGATATTGTAATTGTGTAAATAAGATAGTATTTATATCTTCTACCAGGAAGTCAACGCTGAAATCTATGTCAGGAAAAAACCAGCTGTCACTTGCGTAATACATTATGTATGTAAGCACAGGAACCCGAGTACTGTATAGTTACAGGTGGTATATCTGGTCCTATCCCGATGTATAGAGAGTAATATTACACCTTTTATGAGTGAAATCATCTCTTTATTTGACTTGAAACTTCAATGTGCAGGATTTGAAGATTTAACAAACACGTGACAACGGATATCGATTGAAATCGATCTCATATTTTACTGAATATATTTCACGACAGGAGGTAACCGGTTTCTCCTGCGGTGTAAATTTCAAGACCAGACAATAAAAGACCTGGATGACCTATACTGTGTACGAGGGCACAAACAATATCGACTGTTTATAGCTCCGAAATCAGTTACTATAAGCGGACTATTTATCTCGGATAGGGCTGTTTAAAGGACCAGCTTTGGCAATTACACGTATTTAGGGACACGGTATCAATGGAAAGATAAAATACCGGGATCGAAACATGAAGTGTAATCGTTAAGAATGTGTCCTTTCATCACAAAAGCATGTTACAATATTACAACACAGGCATGTATAATCCAGGGTTTCGAACATTTTAAGATTTCTCAGACCTACGTAATTTCTTTTTTGAAAGTACTCTGATTGATTATTATATAAAACACGAGCTAACTTTTTTATTATTATTTCTTTAACGAGCTAATTAAGTATACAAGTTTTTTTAAAAAATTTAAACCACCATTCTTGTTTGCGACATGATCTATTATAAGGAGGAATGTGGATTTCCACAGAAATATCTTAATTGGTCGCAAGAATTAAAATAGTACACTTAAAATGCCATCAGCTTTAACGTAAAATCTATGCTCAACAATATATATAGAAGGCAAGATAGACAGAAATGTTTATGCTGAAATTTAAGCTGGCATAACGCTTACTAAGTACATAGCTATATTACTTCTTCGGGTCAAGGTCATTGAGGATATTAAGAATTCAGAAAGAAATTATTTGCCATTGTATAGTACATGTTTACTCTTGAACACAGACTTAAATAATGTATTTGTGTGGTTTATCAGAAAGTGAACGACAACACATTTAGTCTTTATGAATATTTATGAACCCGTTCATATTGACTTAAGTTAATATGTACATACCTAAATAACTAACAATAACGATGTAAGTATATCAAGCATGCTGCTAGGTTACTCAAAGTTCATATTTGACATATAACGTCTTTGTAATAAATGGGCTATTCTATTTTAAATAGTACCTGCTTACAACGATCACATGTCTATGGAGACAACCCTACTTTAAAGTATCCCTGTCTATAAAGAACTTCATGACCATAACGACCACCTGTCTGTAAAGGCATCTGCCTATAAAAACTGTCCATGAAGACCACGTGTCTATAAAGGTAACGTGTCTATTACGAATCCCTATCTTTAACGACCACCTGTCGTTATAGACAACATGCCTGTATAGAACGTTACCTCCACCCCATCCCCAGTCCCCTCCCCGGTATCTGATTTTTCATTTTCCCGTGTTTTTTAATGTGCTATATCAACTCAAGAGATATATTTCAGTACATCTTTATTCAATCAATATCTATCCATATCAATATCAATTAAAATCATCGGTACAAAATAGAAATATCACAAAACAAATTGGTATACAGAGGATTGAAAACTCACAAAAATGAATGTGTCTTTCTTTACAATTAATACAAGAATGGGACCAGGAGGTGTTAAATATTAATTCAATTAAAACATATGTCAAAGATGTGATTTCATACGGTTACCTTTGATATTTTTTTCATTGCCACACAAGAACAGATCAATGTCACCCCAAAGTTAAGTCATGAGACATGGATACACATGTATAGGACATTTTTGCGGTAAAAGAATAATTATTTCCGTCCGCTCATGTGTAACGCGAAGAGTTATTACATATATAGAGAGGATGGTTTATAAAAAAAAGTTTAGATATTCAACGTAATCAGTCATGCAGTAAATATGCAGGGGCGATGATTTGACAAAACAGATATAAAATAGTCTAATGTAGGTCTACATATATATTGCATAATGTACAGATTTCCAAACAGCTGAGACGTTACGCCATTGTTATATACCATTCTGCCCGTATGTAATGTACTTAAAATGGTTAGTTTCTTTGACCAGAGTAGGTATTTAGCTGTCAATTTGTACGGGCACCTGCTGTGAACGACGAGAACTAGGCTACCTTGGTGACGTCATCAAGCGAACAGGTCATAGGTCAGCGAGTGAAATGGGAACGGATGAAGTTTGCTGAAGTTGTTTCTCTGGACTATAAATACACTTTTCAGCCTCCGTGTTAACTGCGAGAGAGATTCCGATATGAGTGGAACGAATACAACAGTTCACCATGCCAGAAAGGTGAGAAAGATCGAAATAACAACTTTGAACGGTCTGTATTTGTCGAGACACGGCTTCGTAAATTTACACTTTCAGTTGCAGTGTGTACTGAGTGTTTTTGATTGTACTGATTATACAGATACAATGCTTTTAAAGACTGGACAAAATTTTATTGCATTATATTGTATCAGGACTGTCTGAGATTTTATATTGGATAGATCGTATCTGAAATCACGGTGTCGACAGCACCATGCTAGGGGTGGTGTTCGGAAGAACTTTGAATTGAACGGGGTGTTGTCTTATTCATTGTAACCCAGTCCGATATACATGGCGAACTTTAATACAATAGCGTTAGGCCAGCCTGTTGATATATAAATAGATATTTACTGAACACACATTTCTCGGTGATTTTATAGTCGTCTACGCATCAACAGAACACTCAGTACGACTAACACATATATTAGCTGGTCTACATAATTGATGAAAGTGTGAAAGGTTGAAATCATCTAAAAATTATGTTGGTATGTTATGTGTATACAGTACATCATCATTATTCAAATATACCTGTACACCTATGAATGATCTTCGCCAGTGAATTCCAGAGAATTTGGTTCCACTCGACTGCATGAGAACATTTTTCATGCCTCCATAGAGTGTATTTAAAATCTAGTGAACTGGAATTAAATTTCATGTATAAGACCCTACCTGGATTTATTTTGTATAAATTGTTACCTTGATTACCTATTGAAATGCAAACAATATTTTTTCAAACCTCTTCATTTAACGTCTCGTCTGAGCTCAGCAGAGCAGATTATGTTACTTGAATTAAGTGTTACCTGTATTTTAGTGGTACCATTATATACACACAGGAGTGTTTATGCTTAAAGAAAGTTACATACATGGAAGAATGTCAACAATGTGGTTGTGTACTAGTCGCAGTAGTCGGTGACTAACACTGGTCCAGGGGACCTATCGGGAGTAAGCTAATCAAAACACCAGCTAATTCCATTTAAAGCACCTAACTGTCGACATTGCACGATTATTTTATTTACATAGTTCACGACAGATAACAGTCAATTTATATAGGTGTATCATTATAAAGTTATCGTTATTGCTCATGTTAAATAGTTTACATAAACACGTAAATTGGATACATATAAACGAGGGCTGTGTATTGCCACCTTAAACAAGCATTGTGATTAATGTATATTGAGAGTGAGTTGTATATAAATACTAGTGATGTATGTATAATTGGTTGTTAATAGTTTACCTCCCTATTCTTTTAGCTTCTGACTTTTTCAAAAGACCTCTATCTTTACCTCCTGTTACAAACTTTGTTGTAAAAATTTAAACCATCAATTATAAAATTAAAAGACATGGTCAAACAAATCATTCAGTACTAATTTTGAGGAGCTGAAAGATTTATAACAAAAGCATAATATTATGGCAGTACCACCCTGGTAGTGTAACAAAACACTACTGATGACGACCAAGGAGAATATTTCTTTAGCTCATACGGTACAGTGTAAGACTAGAAAACCTTCAATATAAAAAAAAATGACTAGAAAACCTGAGGGACTGGGTTCCATCCCTAGCGAAGGTATTGAACAAAATAATGACCAGTTACAGTAACATATACCGGTTTCCAATTTAGTATTGTCATTGTAAATAAGGACATTATGTTATGCATTGAATTTAATCACAAATTATAAGGCCATTTACCTGGTACATGTGATACAATCTGATAACTTCATGGTCACTGGAGGGACTTATCGGGAGCTAAATACTAGCCCTAAGCCACCTTGCTAAATACCTCGAGCTCCGCATGCATCATAGTGTTATGCAGTATGGTCTTGGTGCTTCCAACAGCATCATTATCTGAAAGTGCCATCTTATTTGGATGGTATAGCATAGCAAATCCACAACACACCACACCCCTTCAGATCAGTGATCAAGAAAAGAATATACCCGCTGTTACCCACTGCATGTTGTGTAAGAGGCGACTAATGTGGGAACGCCCTGTAGAATTGGGGATTTGCTTTTATGCCCTATACTTGAGGGCACAAATGGACTAAAATATATCTGCTAAACCCATTACAAGATTTGGAATATTAATATTTCTTTTACTGCTAATTACCTTTTATTTCCTAACGCCTTGTTTGGCAACACCTCACTTTTGGCTTTAGTGTTGAATGTTCACACAGGTGAGGAAGGCAATGGGTTCTGTCTCCAGGCCAGGACATCATACCAAAGTCCTTAAAAATGGAAGTTGTTATTCCCTGCTTAACGTTCAGCGCTAAGGGTAATGGATACAACTGGTTTACCCTTTGTCAGTATAATGTGACCAGGTGGAATGCTATGTTGGGTCCCGCCGTGCTTTCAGCATTGTATTTCAGTGAGATAGCACTACCAAGTTGGCATCAGGTCATTAGGTCCGCACTATCACAAGTAGGCAATTCAAGTACACCAACATACCCTGTCTCCAACACACATATATTTATACATACCTGCACACTTTCATAACACATGTCCTTAGATGACCTAAGATGTTAATAAGATGTTAAACACAATTAAACAAAGCCAAACCAAATATATACCCCACCCAAGTTATTGAAGTTTTCTGGGTAGCCGAAAAAAACTCGAAAAGCAATGCTACAACGACTTTAGGTTTTACATCGCAACCATCTTTGTGGAAGACATGAGTGTTACCACTTTACCATTAATGAACCCTTGAGCCATATAAGGTTCAAATTTTACTTTGCAAGTGCTTAATTTAAAATGAAGAAGTTTTTCACTAAGTACTAGATCTAAAGGAATAAAACACCTGTACCAAAAATTATTTTATTTTAATGTTGCATAATGTCATCCGATAGCGTACAAGTTGAGAGTAACAATTTTGTCTAATTTGGAAAATTTTGGTGAAAAATGTTGTAAAATGACCCCTAGTTCGAATTATTCTGACGTTTTATCGACTTTTTTCATATCTATCTGTCGTCGATTAATCGTTCATCGACGACAGACTGATATGAAAAAAGTCGATAAAACGTCAGAATAATTCGGACTAAATGACCCCATAATTTACTGGTAATGGGTCATAGCTATATATACATTATGTTGATAAATTCAAATGCACCAACTTCAGAACAGGTTTCTTTTCCCAAAATAGAACTTTAGAAAAGGTCCTGAATACGGTGGTGATAATACACAGGTATTGACTATTGTACTATGACAGTCTAGGTGACATTTATACATTACAGACAATTGAATTTGTGATACAAAGTACAAACATTTCATTTAGTCATGGAACACTGATGATTGTTCTGGAATTTTTTAAAGCAAGTCCAGAACATCTTTTCCATAACTTTAATGATAGATCATGACTGCATGAGTCCCATTACTAAAAGATGTAGCAGGTCATCAAAATGTTTTTCAAGTCCAGCAGGAAAAGCATGACTCCAGGGCCTGTATTCATCAAACCATTCTCATGCTCAAACATGAATTCTGTACTCAAACCAACTCTCATCATACATGTCAATCTCTAAAAACATACAGTACATGTACACTTTCAAACAGTTAAATATAAACATTGAAAACGGTATTCAGCTCATTGTTTTTCTAAATCTCTTATAAATCATCAACCAAATGTGACTTTTTAAAATCATAAGAAATTGGCCTTGAGCACAGAGTCAGAGTTTGAGCATGAGAATCGTTTTCTTGAAACACAGGCTCAGGACTCAAATGTCAGAGTTCAAAATATAACTGAACCTGCAAGAGTTGGTCAGTTGGGTGCACTCAGTCATATCCTGGTATATGTAGTGTGTGTGGGGAAAGTTATAATGAATGATCTCAAAATAGGGTCTTAACCCTTGGCAGTTGTCCAGTGGATCAAGGAATGTTCTGCCATTTCTCTGTCAGTGTGCATGCCATGTGGGTACATGTATGTACCAGAATGTTCCGGGATGCTCAAACAATATCAGCTGATGTTATGGTTTCAGATAAAAAGGGCTTTTATATGTAACATGTATGTTTAAATTACTATGTTAAAAGACAACCTTATATTACAACAATACATGAAAGATGTGTATCGTAATATAAATTGTCCAACTTATATTAATCACTCTTGCTGGCCCATCCTCAAAATTCCAGGCGCTCACTTACGTCCCCTGCACCCGTGGAATGTCATGACAAATTGAAACATGCAGTAAGCATTTTGGAAAAGTTCATCACATTTCTTTTCTTTTCAATTTTTAGGTCTCCTGAGACAAAGTCTCAAGTGACCTATTGCGATCGCCTTTTGTCGTCCGTCGTCCGTCGTGCGTCCGTAAACAATTTACATTTTCGACATCTTCTCCAAAACCCCTGAACCAATTTAAATGAAATTTTGCAGGGACCTTCCATGGACAAAGGTCAACAAAATTAGTTGCCGGTTTAGTCCTAAGCCCCCAGGGGCCTGAGGGGCGGGGCCAAAAAGGGTCAAATTGACTAAAATTTCAAAAATCTTCTTCTCCAAAACCTCTGAACCAATTTCAATGAAATTTTGCAGGGACCTTCCATGGACAAAGGTCAACAAAAATAGTTGCCGGTTTAGTCCTAAGCCCCCCGGGGCCTGAGGGGCGGGGCCAAAAAGGGTCAAATTGACT